TTTTAATGGAACACAGGCACACCCACTCATTTACCACATGCCGTCCATGGCTGCTTCTTAGAGTTGAATAGTTGTGACAGAGATCATATGGCCCACAAAGCCAGAAATGTTTACTATAATAAATATTCATTATCTGAACTTTTATCAAAGAAGTTTGCTGATTCCTGCCCTAGATAACAGTGGCAAACTCCCAACCAGTCTGAATTTTTTTTTTTTTGTAAAAGTCAAAGTCTCACTCTGCTACCCAGGCTGGAGTGCAGTAGCACGCTCATGGCCACTGGAACCTCGACCTGCTGGTCTCTGGTGATACTTCTGTCTCAGCCTTCCAAGTAGCTGGAACCACAGATACAGTCTGAATTCTGTAGACAAATTTTCTTTTAATGCCCTCATTATCAATATGGTCTCCCTTCAAAAGGCTCCATTTTAACCCTTCTGGTGAATAAGTCTTTGGTTTTCACTCAGAAGAAGGGCAATGAACTAGCTTGTTTGCAATGGGAAAGGAGGCCTGTAGGTTTAAGTCATTCTTAAATAGAGACTCCCAACCAACTCTCCTGATTTCAGTTCCGCTTTCAAGCAAACAGCTTTAAGTTGTACAGAGTTCCTCTCAGTTTTCTCCACTGTGGGTTTAGGTTTTAACTTTCTCAATTTTGCTAAATCAGTTACCATTTGTTCCTCTACTCTTTTTTTTGCGTCAGAGTCTCACTGTCATCCAGGCTGGAGTACAGTGGCACACTCATGGCCACCACAGCCTTGACCTGCTGGGCTCAGGTGGTGATCCTTCCATCTCAGCCTTCTAAGTAGCTAGAAGCACATGCATGTACCACCATACCCAGTTAATTTTTTTGGTTTATTGTAGAGACGTCATCTTGCCATGTTGCCCAGGCTGGTCTCGGAAGTTGCGGGCTCAGGTAATCCTCTTGCCTTAGGCTCCCAAAGTGCTGAGATTATAGGCATGAGCCACTGTGTTTGGCTGTTCCTCTACTTTTTAGTTTCCAAATTATATTGCTATTGCCTCCTCTCCCAATCCCATCATTCTTGTGAATTTCTTTCTCTCCTTTTTAAAGATTATCTCACTTCTATTTGAGTAGACTTTTGAGAGGGAAACCTGTATTCAGTATGCTATCTTCAACTTACCAAGAGGAAATCTGATTGGCCTTTCAGAGAATCATTTAAAAAATATTTTCCCCAACTATTTAAGGTCCACATTTCTGCTACATTTCCAGAAATCTAATTTAAACTATAATGTTGCTATTACCCAGATTCACTTAAGTAACTTGTGAAATAAAATGCTTACTGTGGACCTAAATTTTAACAAAATACATTCTTTATAAAGCCACGAAAGCAAGTTCTCTTAACAAAGCACAAAAGCTCCTGAACTTTTATTTTAAGTATATCCCAAGAGCAAGATCTTGGGGGGAAAGCAAGAATAACATGCCAAAGAAAGCATACAACTAATCAGGATTACACGATAGCCTGAAAGAAAATTATTTTGTATAATGTTCTTTCTTTAGCATGTGGAATTAAATGCCACATCCTTATGTTTTGAAGACTGAACGGGAAAAGTTTAAGGTTAAGAAGTACAAAAAGGGTAACAGTCATAAAACAATTCACATATTGCAAACTATGTTTAGTTAGCAGTTTAATTTCGTCTAAGTAAGCTAAAAAGTACAAGTTACATAAAAATAAAAAGTGATATTCTGAGTATATGCAGTGTTGCTTCAGGAAAGATATAAACAATAAAGAAGGCACTTTCAAGAAAAAAAAAATCTAAGCTGAATTAAGCATGATAGGACACATATCTGAATAAAAACAACAATTTTTTATTGTTATTTCCAGTCATGTGCAGGTATGCAGAAAAAGACATTAGGATAAATTCTTATGGAAGAAGTCAATCCTCTTAAGGAAAACAGAAAAGTAAAGACGACAACTGAGGGTCGGGTATGGTGGCTCACACCTGTAATTCCGGCACTTTGGCAGATCAAAGTGGGAAAATCACTTGAGCCCAAGAGTTCAAGACAGGCCTGGGCCACAGAGTGACTCTATCTCAAGAGGAGAAAGAAAAAGAAGACAAGGAGAAACCTGACAACTAGATTTGTGCTTTCTTCAAATCAATTAAATTCTCTAGGCTGCAGTTTTCTTGTTAAAGAAATAGGGATAGTAATACTTATTCTATCTACAATACATGGCTGTGATGAAAAGTAATTGATACTGTAAATTAAAGTGCTCTGAACAAAAGATACCGCAATGACAAGAGAAAAAGGAAAGTTACGTACAAAATTCCTTTCCAACTGTTGTCTGATTTGCGGGTAAGGCAAAGGCTTCAGATAAAGAACTGCCCATGGTGTTATGTGCTTGGCTGAGGAGCCAGTGGGACAAAGCTACCATCTGTGGGATTATGACTGAGCTCATCTAAATCAGAGTCCAGCCCAGGCAGAATGATATGGCAGCACAGCGTTGCCTCAGTTGGCCTGGGATAGAGGATCGCTTTCAGTCCTCCTGCCCTGCAGGGATCAGGATCTGATGTGGAGAACACTTGTCTTGGGACACGGGGTGCAGCTGGAAAGGCAGTTGCCCCCTCGCCTGTCATGCACCACTTGTTTGTGGGGAACCTGGTGCTAAACCATTCCTAGAGGACCTGCTTCTGGGTAGTGGTTTGCATGTAGCAGAGCAGCTACTTTCCTGTGATCTACTGAAGTCAGCCTAGGCACAAGGGTCTGTAAAATAAATAAATAAGAAAAGGAAAAAAGTAAACAAACAAAAAATAACAAAAAAAAAAGCTGCCCAGAGCAAATGCTCAAGAGGACCTACTGCATCTTGAAAACTTAAGATATTCTCCATTGCTGTCACCTCAGTTTTGCTGTTTTAAGTAGATCCAAATACATTTTTTTAAGTTCATTTTTTATTTTTTGTGTCAGAGTCTGTCGCCCAGGTTGGAGTGAGTGGGACGTTCATGGCCACCTCAGCCCTGACCTGTGGCCATCCTTCCACCTTAGCCTTCCAAGTAGTTGGAACTACAGGTGCATGCCATCACGTTTGGCTGATTTTTTTTATTTTTATGGAAGAGACAAGGCCTCCCCAAGTTGCTCAAACTGGTCTTGAACCCCTGGACTCAGGCAATCCTCTCGTCTCTGCCTCCCAATCATGCCCAGCCTATCCAAATAAATTTAAAGTAAAAACTTAACAAGTGGTTTCCAATAAAAAAATTTCATTTGTTTAAACAGTAAAGATCATCATTCCAATTAAGTCAGCCTGATCAACTACAACAAAGATTGGCAACTTCCTCTGTAAAGGCCAGATACTAAATATTTAATTAAATTAATTAATTAATTTATTTTTGAGTTGGAGTCTCACTCTGTTGCCCAGACTGGAATGCAGTGGCATGCTCATGGCCAACTCAGCGATGACCTGCTGGGCTCCGGCGATCCTTCCGCCTCAGCCCTCCAAGGAGCCGGAACTACAGGCATGCACTACCACACCCAGCTAATTTATTTTATTTTTTATGGAGATGAGGTGTCTTGCTATATTGCTGGTCTAGAACTCTTGGTTGGGCTCAAGCAGTCTTCCCACCTTGACATCCCAGAGTATTGGAGTTACAGGCGTGAGCCACTGCATCCAGCCTGAGATATGTTAATCTCTGCAGGCCATACGAACTCTGCCACAAGCTACTCAACTCTGTTAATTAACAACTGACTGAACTGTCTTTGAAGTTATACAAATGGTAAGATGTTTCTGAAATATTCATATTCTTAAAAATGAAATAAAAATAAAAACTATGATGCTATAGGAGACAACTTATACTGGTTCAAAGGACTTCTCAGGAACACTTAAGAGTTAAATCAGATTCGGATAAAATCTGGCATAAGAGCCAGAATCTAAAGAGTATAGCTGGTCATCCTTTTATAGTACTCTACAAAAAACGTTTGCAAGTAATGTGAGAAAAGCGAGACATACCAAAGAATATTTTAAATGAAATGGTAAGAAATGGGATTTCCCCAAAACTGAAAATGGCAGCACATGGTGGCTCACGCCTGTAACCTCTACCCCTGGAGCCCCAGCTTCTTGGGAGGCTGAGGTAGAAAGAATGCCTGAGCCCAGGAGGTTAAGGCTGCAATGAGCAGTGATTGTACCACTGCATTCCAGTCTGGGTGACAGAGTGAGACCTCGACTCAAAAACAAACAAAACTGAAAATGGAGAAGGTACATAATTAAATGTTGCCAATTAACATTATCTATGAAAATAACAAAAAAAGAATATTAAAAATTTACTAGGTACTAATTAGTTCCAACCATGTTGAGGGAACCTTTTGCTAGCCTAAACCAAGTGGCCAAATGATGTTTAATTCCATCTCCATTGTTTCCATATAAAAAGATATAGATATATCACACTGCATTTACACTTAATTCAAGAAGCAAGATACTACTGTAGGTATCAGTAGCTTGCAGAATGCTGGGGTTTTTATTAACTTAGTAACAGTAAATATGCTGCAATATACTTATTTCTGTGTTAAAGAAGACTACTACTTAGCTCTGAGAATACTGTTATATAGCAGTTATTTATTCTTATCAAATCGGGAAGTTTACAAAGTTGTCTTTATAAAACATTTCTCAAACAAAACAAAAACCATCTTGTCCCTTCTATTCCACCTCCCCCAGATTTTAACACCCTTAAAGGCAGGGACAATACCTGTGTTGTTCATTGCAGCATCTCCAACATCTTAACGAAGGGTAAAAGCTCATGATTTTTTTCTTGAGAATGAACTCCTAACAAACTTCCATAAAGAAAATTAGAGCCTCTGCTGTATATTTTATAATGAGAATTTTGAATATAAAGATCACAAAAATGACACATTTATACTGATAACTGGACAGAAGCTAAACAAACCCATTCATAGAAACTCACTCAGAGACATAGGAACAGTTCTAACATTTGAAAAATTACCGATAACTTTATAGTAAGTTTACACAGGGCAATCCTTGTTCCAGGCAAGCAATTCTTTTACCTTTCCTGGGATGAAGCAACAGAGATTGGAATCCACATATTTCATGAAAGTCATATTTAACAGTGACAGCCTTGTTTCAACAGCAGCAAGAATGTCTGCATGACGAGCTAATGAATGGTTTCTTCTTTCTGACTCTCTCCTACAATAATAATAAAAGGCAAACATTAAAGCAGTACTGTGGACTAAAATATTAAGCACTCAAAATGCCTTAATGAAAGTCTAGTACATGTTAATTTAGAAATCTAGACTTGGGTCATAATTTAATTATAATGATGAATGAATCACTATGCCCAGAAATGCTTGCCAAGTACTAGTACAAACTGACAAACTATTTGGGAAAAATTCCCTTTATTTTAGCAAAGAATTACTTGTGTGGTTTTTTTTGGTGGGGGGGCTATATCAAGTCTAATAGCTATTCAAATGAAAGAAATTAGCTAAATCAAAGACTCACACATGGACATATAGGCAAATAGGCAAGAAACTATATGTTTTTGCCCATATTTAGTTTCTTTAAACTTTTTTTAACAATTTAATTATTTACAAGTGGACAATTTAGTGTTTAGTGTATTCACAGAATGTACAACTCTCACCACTATCTAATCTCTGAACATTTTTACTACCACAAAAAGAAAGCCACAATCATTATCAGTTATTCCCATTTTCCCAGTTCCTGGTAACTACCAATCTATGTTCTATTTCTATAAATCACCTATTCTAAACAATTCGAATAAATGGAGTACGTTACGGAACCTTGTGTTTCTGGCTTTTCTCATTTAGCAGAGTCCTCAAGATTCATTCATATTATAGCATGACTCTTTACTGGTGAGTAATATTCCCCATATGAAAATAGTGTCGACGCGTTTATCTAGTCATCAGCTGACAGACACAGGTTGTTTCTACTTTTTGGCGATTAAGAATAATGCTGCTAAGAACATTCATGGGTAAGTTTTTATCTGGAGATGTTTTCATTTCTTTCGGGGATATACCTAGGAGTAAAACTGCTGGGTCATATAGTAACTCTATGCATGCCTTGAGAACAGTGAAATCTGTTTTTTACCACTTTACATTCCCACCAGTGATATATGGAGTTTCTAATTTATCCACATCCTCCCTAACATTCTTTTTTATTTTAGCCATCCTAGTGGGTGTAAAGCATTATCTTACAGTGGTTTTAATTTACATTTTCCTGATGACTAATGATGTTGAAAATGTTTCATGTGCTTACTGGCCATTAGTATATTTTTTCTGGAGAAATGTCTATTTAAGTCCGGTGCCCACTTTTACATTGGGATAGCTTTTTTTTGTTGAGTTGTAGGAGCTCCTCATACAACCTGAATACAAGTCCCTTAACATATTTTGTGGGTTTCTTTTCACTTTTTAAAAAATTACCTTATTTTAGGTTCAAGGAATATATGTATAGGTTATTACCGAGGTATACTGAGTGATGGTGAGGTTTGGGCTTCTACTGAGCCCATCACCCAGGTGGTGAGCCTGGTACCCAATGGGTGGGCTATCATCCCTTATCCCCATCTTTCCCTCCCCTCTTTAGGAGTCCTCAGTATCTGTTGCTCCCATCCTTATGCCCATGTGTATTCAGCTTTTCACTTTCTTAATGGTGTCCTTTGAGCCACAAAAGTTTTAAATTTTGATGAAGTACAATTTGCCTTTTTTCTTTTGCCACTGGCTAAAACTTCCAGTAAAATGTTGAAGAAAAATGGTTAGAGTGGGCCACGCACCATAGCTTGTCCTGGTACTTTGGGAAGCTGAGGCAGGAGGATTGCTTGAACTCAGGAGCTCAAGACCAGCCTAGGCAACATTGCCAGACCTCATCTCTATAATAAATAAAAAAATTAGTCAGGTGTGGTGGCATGCACCTATAGTCCTATCTACTCAGGAGTCTGAGGTAGAAGGATCACCTGAGCCCAGGAGGTTGAGACTGCGGTGAGCTGTGATCGTGCCACTGCACTCCGGTCTGGGTGACAGAGTGAGACCCTGAGACCCTAACTTAAAAAAAAAAAAAAAAAAAAGGAAAAAAAAGATATGGTTAGAGTGGACAAATCACAGTATAAATCATATTGCGATCTGTGTGCCTTTTGCTATAAAAACCTAGGAATGAATTAACATGCAAACGTTAAGAATAAAGAAAAAAAAAATCAAGAAACAAACAAAACTCCCAACTATAAATTATTGCTATTGCTAGCCATAACATACCTAGGGAGCTGTGCTTTAACTTGTTTCTGACATAGATTATGGTACCTCTCTACTTTCAGAAATCCCTGATTCAACATTCTCTGGCAGACCAAGTCCATTCTTTTACAAACCTATGGGGAGACAGAAGAAAAAAGAAGTTTTAAAAAATCAATAACCAAATTGATAACAGATAACTTAGACCCAACCAACTGCTGAAAGCTCTTCATGCTAGTGTTGTTCCTGTTTGCCATCTCTCAATTTTTGAATCAATATCTGTGGGTAAATCCCTTATACCACGTCTAGCTTCTGTGATATTTCATTAAGAAATTAGTATCATCATTTACTTTAGGTGTTTGCTGAATGTTCTGAAGGTATTCCCACTATTATGTCATAGACTGTAGTCCTAAAGAAGTAAAACAATGTATTTAAAGGTTAATACTTTGAAACAAGAAAAATTTCCTTTTAGCAAAAAATGTATATTCACATTTGAGTCTAACCTCTTACAAAGTTTACATGATCTATAGTCAAATGAGCATTCTTATTTATTATTTCTTCTAATGATTTGGGTTAACTATGAATAGTTCGTGATGGCCAAGGAGGCCTTTATACTGAATACTATTATACCTCCCAAAATATTTTAAAAAGTGTAGGATGCCAGCTACTTTGAATTTTTAAGAAATATGGCATTCTTATACAGTAAAAGCATAAGATCAGAACACCTAAATTTGAGCCCAATCTATTTGCATTCTTGTGCAAGTCAGCTACCACCTGCAAGAGTCAGCCATTTACAAAATGTGGCTAGTATCTAACTCGTATCATTAAGGATTAAATGAACCAATACTCACTAAGTTACTTGACAAACTCTAAAGTGCTACATAAAACCGCTAGCTAAATAAATGCTGTGATGGGCACGGTGGCTCACACTTGTAATCCCAGCACTTTGGGAGGCTGAGGTGGGAGGACTGCCTGAGCCCAGGGGTTCGAGACCAGCCTGGGCAACATGGTGAGCCCTCATCTCTACTATAAATCAAAAGAATTAGCTGGGCATGGTACTGCACACCTGTAGTGCCAGCTACTTGGAAGGCCAAAGCAGAAGGATTGCCTGAGCCCAGCAGGTTGAGGCTGTGGTGGTCATGAGCATGCCACTACACTCCAGCCTGGGTGACAGAGTGAGACTCCAACTCAAAAAAAAAAAATGTTGCTTACCTTAGTATGAATTTGAAAACTCTGTTCCATGTATTTGTTGTATTTCCGAGCTATCCTAGCATCTTAATTATATCTAGTACACAGAAGTCGTTTTTGATCCCTGAGAATTCTGCAGTGACTCAGAGTCATCAACCTGAAGGTTTTCACTGTGCAGAGGTGAATACTGAGGTACAAGACACTGAGATAAATCCACTAATGCCAAGTCAACCAGTTATGAGTTGTTTTATGCTTCTTTCCATCTCTTATAGCACCCAAGCATTTGTCATGACTGACAAATATTTGTTGAAACAAAATGCTGATGACACTCTTGAGATAAGTTTGTTTTCTTTTGAGAACATAGGGTTGACAAAAATTCTGGCAAACTGGGCTTGAAGCTCATGAAGGCTTTAATGTTATAATATTAAATACCAGATATTTTCTAAATCACAGCATGCTAAGTGAAAGGTGTTAAGAAAAACAGTTCTTTTCAATTTCAAAATAAACTAAAATATAATAAATTTTAAGTACTGTTACTAATTTCTAATAAGTGGCATTTTAAAATATGGTAGAATCTACTTCTAATTAAGACAGTTATCAACATTTGCTCTGTCTCTATTGAAAAAAACCACAAACTTAATACACAGTAACATATACAATTGTTTTTAATGAAAAATAACTTTTTTTCCAAAACAAAATATTTAGTGAGTAGCATTATTTTACATTTTTGCAAAGCTCTTTAATATGGTTTGATAGAAGACATAAATTTTCATGTTTCTGCATCCAATATATTTAAGTATTCTTACCTTAAAAAATTCTAGAAAATACAAGAACACATTTCATTAGTTATCAGTGTGATGACACCATCTACGTCACACAGTTACTGAAAAACTCCATGTGTACTTGTGAAAGAATGAAAGTACAAAACCCAAATAAGACCTTAGTACTGTAATAAGAATATTTTACATCTTATGGACCCCTTGAAAGGATCTTGGAAACCTCCCTGGGGTCCCTGGACTATACTTTAAGAACCAGTGTCCCGATCCTGAAAAAGTGCATTGCCACAAATACCAGTAAGGAACTGTATGTGAAGAAAAAAAATAAACTTTTATAGTGTTATTGGAGGAAGGAAAAGGGAGTATCAATGTGTGTGAAATGAGAATTCAAAAGGCTAAATTCTCAACATTTATAATAGAATGTTAATAGATAATATCTAACATAAGAAAATTAGCCAAAAGACTTGAAAGTGTTATATATGGAGAATAAAAATTGGGGACTGAAAAAACAATTTTGTTAAAACTATTGTTTTAAATCAACAAATGGATAGATACTAGATTTTAACAAAACCCGAGGCACCCTCTAACACAATCTTGTAGAAAAACACTTCTTGTCTCTGTAGACTCTACAACCTTGTTTATATAATTTCTGAGAGAAAATAATTTTTTGGCAGCAATATACTTGCAAAGAAAAAAATTACAACTATAGCAATTATCAAGATACAGTCTAAATTATTTTATAATAGTTTTACTGTACTGTATCTAACTTCCAGGGATTAGGTATTTATTAATCACGTAGAAACTCAACTGAATATGACTGCTGACTAGTCTAAGTATGTATATATTAATTGTGTGATAAGAATAGAAATAAATAACCAGATACAGTCAACTAAGAAATACTTCAAATGACAAAATATTTATATTAGGCTTCAAAGGAAGAATGGGCAAAGACTGCTAAGTCAGAGATAGCAGAGTATGCAAAGGCACAAAGTCTGGAGTGAACAAACCATTAGCAAGCAAACTACTTCGGAAGATGTGTGGTAAACCTGAGAGGTATAAAATATTCTATGTTTTGACAGGAAAATCAGATGATAATGAAAAATACTGTAACTTTTTTTTTTTGAGTTGGAGTCTCACTCGGTCGCCCAGACTGGAATGCAGCGGCCACTCCGGCCACCGCAGCCTCGCCTGCTGGGCTCTGGTGATCCTTCCGCCTCAGCCTTCTAAGTAGCCGGAATTACAGGCATGCGCTACCACGCCCGGCTGAGTTTTTGATTTATTGTAGAGATGAGGTCTCGCCTGCCCAGGCGGGTCTCAAACACGCGGGCTCAGGCAATCCACTCACCTCAGCCTCCTAAAGGCACAGGATTACAGGCTGAGCCACTGAGCCCGGCTTTTAACTTTTAAAAGAAAAAGACCACCCATCTTTTGAAAGATCTTGTATTAGGAGAGCTGGCTGCTCATTTTCTTTTATTTTGAATTGGAGTCTCACTCTGTCGCCCAGATTGGAGTCTAGTGGCACACTCACAGCCACCGCAACCTCAACCAGCAGGACTTGGGTAATCCTTCTGTCTCAGTCTTCCAATAGCTGGAACTACAGGCATGCGCTATCACACCCGGCTAATTTTTTGATTTACTGTAGAGATGAGGCCTTGCCAAGTTGTCCAGGATGATGTCAAACTCCTGAGCGCAGGCGATCCTCTTGCCTCGGTCTCCCAAAGTGCTGGAATTACAGGCTTAAGCCACCACGCCTGGCCCTAGTTGGTCATTTTTATGAGTACTATAATATTTGTACTAAAGATATGGCTCTAGATTACTAAAATAATGGAAGTTTCACTGGAGATAGTCGAAATCAATGTAGATGAACCATAAATGAAGTGAAACATAATACAATAAAGGCCAGGGGCGATGGCTCACGCCTGTAATTCTAGCACTTTGGGAAGCTGGGGTGAGAGAAATGCCTGAGTTCACAGGTTCGAGACCAGCCTGGGCAACTTGGTGAGAACTCATCTGTACAATAAATAAAAACATTAGCCAGGTGTGGTGGCGTGTGCCTGTAGTTTCAGCTACTTGGAAGGCTGAGGCAGAAGGATCACCTGAGTCCAGTAGGTCGAGGCTGTGGTGGCCTTGAGTGTGCCACTGCACTCCAGCCTGGATGACAGTGAGACTCCAACTCAAAAAAAAACCCCCAAAAAACAAAACAGGAAAACAAAACCTTATAAATGAAGCCTCAGCCGACATTTATAGTTGAGAGACCAGAAAACAGGAGGTTACAAAGACAGACAAATTAGAGTAGCACTATAAAAGCCAACCTCAAAAAGATTTTTTTTTTTTGAGTTAGAGTCTCACTCTGTCGCCCAGACTGGAGTGCAGTGGCAGCTC